TATATATATATATATATATATTTGTAATCAACACCATGGTGGCAAGGTGTTGATAACGCGATGGTCACTGATAATTATGGCCAACGATAATTAGCTTTCTTCTGAAGTGGAAAATTAATTATGGTCAAGGATAATGACCTTTCGTCTTAAGTGGAAAATTCTAAGTTAAAATAATACCGTGTGCATACAATATATATATTTGATTCAAATTATAGGATAAATAAATAATATATAACTACACGGGGTCATCCTTTAATTAAATAATAATAATGTAATAATATATTTAGTTTTTTTTTTTTTTTAAATGGAGAGAAGAGGAGAAAAATAAAACGATATAACATCCTTTTATTCCCCTCAGTTAATTTCTCCAATTTCCTTTCCCTTCACTCTTCTTATTTAAAAAAAAATAAAGTAAATAGCTCCACCCTCCTCCAAATTTTTCTGCTATCCAAGTAATGAAATTGTCAACGCCTTATCTCCCATACAACCAAACATTTATACCATGAGCTTCTGAGGATTGTGAACCCCTCTCCCTCCCCCATCATAATTAAAAAGTCAGAGCCGGTGAGCTGGATGATGGCTACTAGCAAGCAAAACTGCAAAAGATTACTCATCCAAAAAGATTGGTCGAATCCCTAAAACCCAGACAGGACGCATCAATTTCATATTGTCGTCGGTTGAATGTCCCACCTTCTGCCAAAATTAATTTCTCTTCGGCATCAGTCAATGCACAAGTTAATGGCTCAAATTCTTCACCGATTAAACAAGAAAAAGAGAAGAACCCGCCACAAATTAACTTCAACTTTTAAAGTGCTCTGTATAAAGAACTTGTTCTGTAAGTTCCAACCTTTCCACCGGGGATATAAAATATTTGTGCGAATAAGGTATCCTCAATTTAATTTATATATATTTTAAAATTATTTTGTTAGTCTGATTCAAAAAAAATTATTCATGATGTCATAATTTGAAAATTCATAAAAAATAATATTTTTATTGGCATTATAAGAGAATCGAATCTTGATTAATAAAATACAATACAAACTCCCTTATCAATTAAGAAACAACCCTGAAAGTGGAGATGTCAAATATTAATAAGAGATTAATGCTTCAATTAGAAGTATAAGTGCGGGTTAATTTAAAAAGAGGGTGGTTTTAAAAAAATAATGATTGTTAGGACTTAGGAGAGTTTCAAAAAAATATTTTGAAAAGAAGTCCTAAATTGCTAAATAATCTCATATTAGTACCTTGATATTCCTTTTATAATTTAACTCAAAAGTAAGGACAAAATTGAAACTATAAGGTACTAATATGGCATTATTTAGTATTTTAAGAATTTTTTACAAATATTATTAAAACCCTCCCTAAATGGTCTCATAACTTTATTAAAACCACATTTTTTTGGATGAGAAATGTTTAGTTTGTGAGAATTGTGTACGTGGGCTCAACAAAATGTAGGCAGGTTAACAATGGGTTTTTCAAAACAGAATTTAAACTCTAATATTATGTAAAAATTATGTATGTGAGTTTAACATAAAGTTTGCATTTAATTTAAAACTAATTAACAATAAATGGAATAGTTCTCCTTATATTTAATCCATAAGTTTCTTTGTTATGTACTTGATGTGATATTTTCCTACTCAACATAATTGCATTAACACTTGGATGGGTGAATTTTTTTTATATTATTTGGAGCCTATCCCATTCAAATGTCCCATTTTTAGAGTTCCGTTAAGCCACTCCTTTAGAACTATCCCTTAAAATTTTTAACTGAGGAGACTAAAGGTTAGAAAATTGGTATACAAAAATCTTCTCTCATCATAGAATTAAATAGCAATAACTATAGTTGACTCCATAATTTTTGCATAATGCATCAATTAGTACATACATTTACTAATCTAATTCTGCGGCGCCACATGATTTACTAATTAATATCTCTCCATGAGATAAGGTAGTGCGTATTAGCCCGGGCAAATTTATTCAACCAGAAAATTAAATTTGATATGATTTGACTTGATTTGATTTGATTCTCAACTTTTGATTATGCTCAACTAATAAGAATCATAAACATGGTGATCTACAGCTACCTGGCGTCTGCTTTTATGAGGTATACCCACCATAGGTTTAGTGTTCGAAACCAGGTGCCATGACGGTTGGCCCCAAAGAAATTACTCTCATAAATACACGTAGCCCTTCTCCTTCGAGATAAGGTTGTTTTAAGACAATCCAATATTGATTATAAATTTTTAATTAATTAAATTATGATGTTTATTTGTACTTGACCTTTCAAGTCAATTGACAACCTATCAATTTGAAGTACATTTCTCTTTCTCCAAAAGCGAGCTTTGAGCCCTCCTTTAATAACTTGTTCAAAAAAAAAATTATGATATTTATTTATTTTTTGAATAAATTATAATTTTTAAAAAAAAGGATATTTGAATCCCAACTACAATTGAATAATGTATTTTATTATTAGAATTATAATTTTTACGTTATGAATCTCAAGTGGGATCATCATATTTATAAACATTACAATGAATTAAAAAGAGATGAAAATAAAATCATGATGTTGAACAATAAGTAATCGGTTTTTATTTTACATACATATTTCGGTTTCAGGCGATATAGATGACTTTAACTACTTATTACCAACTGCATAGTTTTGCTAATAAACAATTACAAGAGACATAAATAGAAGAATTTTTTTTTTTTTTTCGAAATTTTTGCAGTCCTTTGAGAATTCAGAGAACTTTGTCCCTAATCCTAGTTTGCATCAGGATATTAATATTACTGTCTTGAAATCTGATTTCCGGTGAAAATAGAACCACAGAAGTTTTTAAAAAAGAATCCCTTAATATCTTACTTCATATGGTTCGTGCAGGGACGGCGGCGCTGCCAAGCTTGGCCGCATCGTGGGGCGTCAACTGGCCAATCACGAACGACTTGTAGATCTCAACGATCATCTTCTCGTCGTATTCCTTCATCGGCTGTTTTCCGAAGGTAGCAATCCCGTTGCTAATGACTCCGCCGTATCCAGAACCGGCGGTCATCACCCAGGAGTTAGACAATCGCAGCATCATATTCACGTAGGCGTCACGGAGCCAGACGAAGAATTTCTTTGGAGTCCGCAGCCTGAGCTTGGGCTTGATTCTGATCCGCCAGAACCGCCGTCGCCCATTGAGAGAGGAGCCCAGCTCCACCTCGTTCCTCCGCATCCGTCGTGACCCCTTTAGCTTCACGTAGCTCCGTCTCCTCCAGTACCGCTTTAATCCTTTGTACAGTCTCGTTGATACACCTTCCATCTTCTTTGATTTTTGGCTCTGCTTCCGGCCGGAGCCCAGAGGATAGAGTTGATGATTAAATCTGGGAATTATAAAGGCGAGATATATGCAAGTGGAGAATGGAATGCTGTTGTAAGGTTAAAATATCAATTTGATCCTTCAACTTTCAGATTTGTATCAAAATTATCCCTTAACTTCAGAAAATACTAAAATTAACCTTAAACTTAATTTTTGATACCAAAATGATCGTCAAATTTTGAAGATTATATCGATTTAGTTCGTAAACTTTGAGTACAAATATTAATTTGATTTTTTACTTTTGATTATATATCAATATAATAGGTAAATAAAAATATATTATGATAATAAAATATGATTGTTTAATTTTACAAATCATTAGTATTTAAAAAAACAAAACTGAATTTGTGGTAAAATAGCGAGTTATGTAATACTTTTGTTAATAAAAGGATTTTATTGGTATTAAAAATTAAAGTTTAGTGACAATTTTGATACTTTCTGTAGTTAAGGGTAATTTTGATAAAAATTTAAAAATTAAGGGACCAAATTGATATTTTAACCTGTTAATTAAAGGAGTTTCTGACCTAGTGCCAACAATTTCAAGTTGCGTTCGAAATAGCCTTATTTATTCTAATCTCCTTTGGATTTTAGTCTAAATTCTAAGTACACTCTATTTTTTATTTCGTTTAGGACAAGAGTAAAAACTGACACGAGTAAGCACAATTATATTTAATTAATTTTTTAAGCAACAATTTATTTAAAAATATAAATTTGTAATTTATAATTTATTTTTACTAATTTTGTATACTTTTATTAATTTTAATTGATTAATATGTTATATTTTTTATAGTAAAAAGACAAAAAAAAAAAAAAAAACCCTATTGTTATAGCATGGTGTAGCATAATACCTACTGCCAAGCCAAAGTTTAATATGCGTCAAAATTTAGGTTATAAAA